CCCTGTGAAGCTGAATAAACCTGCTTATACTTCCACTTCATTTTGTCAGACAATTTCATTTTCTCACTGGGAATCCAGCCAACGGGTCGCCTGGTTAAAAGGGACAAACAGCTAAAACTGCCAGATGAGCATACACTGTCAGACCAGCATACCCATACCTGTTTATCCCTGTAGTTTTGTATGAAAAACTAGACAATTAACTACTGAAACGGGTGTGTATCCCTTTAGTCATGTGCAAAAAACTATTTAATGACTCACTTTTTGGTGTTTTTTTAAAGCGTATGGCAATCTCACCATAAATTGTTTTTTTAGTGGATGTCTAAAGGGATACAGGCCCATTAAAGTAGTTTAATCTCTATTCTTCGTACAAAACTAAAGGGATAAACGCAAATCTGATGTCTTGCACATGTGGCTTGACTCTGGGTATGCTGGTCTGACAGGGTATGTTCATCTGACAGAACACCGGTCAGAAAAAGCTGAAACCAGAAATAGAGTGGAGGAAAATAGATACGGTGGCTGACGTAAACACTAATTCATAGATTTGCCCCTCCCCTAACTTAAAGGGAAAATTATCTATCTGTATATCCTAAACAATTCTTGTTTTTCAGCTTATGATTCATGTGCAAACGTTGTTGTTGTTATGAACAGCAGACCAACCTGTCTTCTGTTTAATAACCGCAGGCGTCCATTAAAACAGTGATCGAATGTGACGTTTATAAATTTAATCTGTGAACAGAACCCGACTTTCTCAAAGTCTGGAGTCTAAGCCATGATTGGAGCAAAAATGGCTCAATCCTTCAGATTAGATGGATGATAACTTGCTTGATGGATTAAAATGAGCCTCCTTGCTGGATTTGAACAGATTTTTTGTAGCACGCAAGTATTTCAGATATAACTTCAGTTTATGCAATAAATATTCACACCGTCCTGCTTCACAGGAAAACATAAATATAATTACACCTTTGCTGCAGCAACAGGAATAACTGGCTTAAAAAAAGTCTCGTTCATCATTGAAGCTAAAATATTTTGTTTTTAGCGAAGAGGGAGATTTGAAAAATGGTTATTTTAATTCATCCATACTGGAGGTTCTGAAGCATCAACGGTCAGTTTAATGTAATTTTACATGCATCTCAGTTAAATGTCATCTGGGCTTTGATTAGGCCACATTAACATCTTTGGTTGATTTTGTTTTTCTCTGTTTAAAGGTGGACTAGCAGCTGTGATGTGGACCATCGTCTTGTTGCAAAGTCAGATCTCCTTTCTGGCTGCTGACGCAAACATTTGAGCCGTTCTGACTCTTTAAAGCTTCTCTCTAGCATGTAGCTCAACATGCTAAGATGTACGACAGAGAGCGGCTTCTTTAGGTTTTCCTCTTAGTATCCTTACATCAACTTATGCAAAGAGTAAAACTTGATTCTATGTTTGTGAATCTATATTTGCACTGAGAATGTGTGTTTGCTCGCCCTTAATGTCAGGAAGTTGCTTACCTCATTCATGCAAAGCATTGTGGGTAGAAGGAGTCAGGTGACTGTTGAGGCAGAGCAATACTTAAAGTTATTTTAGCTGCTGAACAATAATCTGTAGAGTTTCTTACACAAACACACCCTTTCCACATCATTTAATATTTGGTAACCAATGACGTTCTGTCAGATGATCATACCCGGTCAGACCAGCATACCCAGAGTTATTACCCGTTTATCCTTTTAGTTTACCCTTTAGTTTTGTAAAAAAAATACACTTGAAACCACCTCAACTGGCGTGTATCCCTTTGGTCATGGCCAAAAAAAACAATTAAATTTTTGGTGTTTTTTGAAGCGTTTGGCAATCTCACCTTAAATTGTTGTTTTTTTGTACATGACTAAAGGGTTACACACCTGTTGAGGTAGTTTAAAGTCTAATTTTTGTACAAAAATAAAGGAATAAATGCAAATCCAAAGTATGAAGATGAGAATGTGTGGGACTACTCACATTTTGAACAAACCAATCAAGCCTAAGATAGCATTAAAGACTGCATTTAAGCTATCACCTTCAATGTTGGCATGAATGTTAAAATTTGACACCTTTTTAGGCAGTTTAAAGTCTATTTTTGGTACAAAACTAAAGGGATAAACGCAAATCTGATGTCTTGCACATGTGGCTTGACTCTGGGTATGCTGGTCTGACAGGGTATGTTCATCTGACAGAACACCGGTCAGAAAAAGCTGAAACCAGAAATAGAGTGGAGGAAAAATAGATACGGTGGCTGACGTAAACACTAATTCATAGATTTGCCCCTCCCCTAACTTAAAGGGAAAATTATCTATCTGTATATCCTAAACAATTCTTGTTTTTCAGCTTATGATTCATGTGCAAACGTTGTTGTTGTTATGAACAGCAGACCAACCTGTCTTCTGTTTAATAACCGCAGGCGTCCATTAAAACAGTGATCGAATGTGACGTTTATAAATTTAATCTGTGAACAGAACCCGACTTTCTCAAAGTCTGGAGTCTAAGCCATGATTGGAGCAAAAATGGCTCAATCCTTCAGATTAGACAGATGATAACTTGCTTGATGGATTAAAATGAGCCTCCTTGCTGGATTTGAACAGATTTTTTGTAGCACGCAAGTATTTCAGATATAACTTCAGTTTATGCAATAACTATTCACACCGTCCTGCTTCACAGTAAAACATAAATATAATTACACCTTTGCTGCAGCAACAGGAATAACTGGCTTTAAAAAAGTCTCGTTCATCATTGAAGCTAAAATATTTTGTTTTTAGCGAAGGAGGAGCTTTGAAAAATGGTTATTTTAATTCATCCATACTGGAGGTTCTGAAGCATCAACGGTCAGTTTAATTTAATTTTACATGCATCTCAGTTGAATGTCATCTGGGCTTTGATTAGGCCACATTAACATCTTTGGTTAATTTTGTTTTTCTCTGTTTAAAGGTGGACTAGCAGCTGTGATGTGGACCATCGTCTTGTTGCAAAGTCAGATCTCCTTTCTGGCTGCTGACGCAAACATTTGAGCCGTTCTGACTCTTTAAAGCTTCTCTCTAGCATGTAGCTCAACATGCTAAGATGTACGACAGAGAGCGGCTTCTTTAGGTTTTCCTCTTAGTATCCTTACATCAACTTATGCAAAGAGTAAAACTTGATTCTATGTTTGTGAATCTATATTTGCACTCAGAGGCGCACCTTGTCAACAGGCAAACCAAGCAACTGCTTGGAGCCCCGAGCCGCTGGGGGGCCCCCGAAAGCCAGCTACTGTACATCCGGTAGATAAACAGCAACAGGTGAGCATGAAGTGGCAACGCTATAGTGACTGAGGAGATGCACAACTGCATTAAAAAAATTCCGATTGGATGGAATGTTGATTGACATTGGCTTTGACCAGTCAAAATCCAGCCCAGCCCAGGTGGATGACATCCCTTAATAAAAATGAACGTAGCCTAGCGAATGGGTGACGTTGTAGGCCTATCGTTCAGCAAATTGGAAAGCAATAATGTAACTAAGCTGAAGGAAAATGATTCATTTTCCATGTCTCAAGAGAGACTTTCAGGACTGGCGCTTATTTCTATAGAGTATAGTGTGTGAAGGTCTTTGGATCTGGAGGACTTAGTGTCTGCATTTGCACAAGCCAAGGCCTGTAAGCAGCAATTCTGGAAGCAGTATAATTTCACTACACTTACTATACTTTATATTTTGTACAAAGTTTATATTGGGTTTTTAAAGTAATTTCCTGTTTTTTTTTTATTATACATTTATTTTAATTTATTAGTTTATTCTTTACTTTTATTCTTTTATATTTTCCAAAATAACAAGGTTGTTCATGTTTAGAACATACGGAATAAAAAAAGTTTTATTTAATACATTTTTCTTTGGTGTCAGATTATTTATAGCCTAACATAATGGTGATGAACACTGGTCAGGAGGGCCCCCTAGGATTTTTTGCTTGGGGCCCCCACAGACTCTAGAATCGCCTCTGTTTGCACTGAGAACGTGTGTTTGCTTGCCCTTAATGACAGGAAGTTGCTTACCTCACTCACGCAAAGCATTGTGGGTAATAGGAGTCAGGTGACTGTTGAGGCAGAGCGATACTTAAAGTTATTTTAGCTGCTGAACAATAATCTGTAGAGTTTCTTACACAAACACACCCTTTCCACATCATTAACTGTTTGGTCACCAATGACGGCATTTATTAAGCACCGCTGAGCTCTTAGAGAGCAGCTAATTATCCTGTTAGCATTCTTTAGCCGTTCTGCTTTTCAGTTTTTTTTTTATTTAAGTGTTTATATTTCACTGTGTCGCACAAACAAAATATTAATGCTAAAAGAAAAGCAGCACAGCGGCCTAGTGCTAGAGCTTGGAATCCTGAGGTTCTGAGTTTGAGCCCCACTCCCACAGACTGCCACTCTGGGTCCCTGAGCAAGACCCTTAACTCCACCCTGCTCCCTGGGCGCCGCACAATGGCAGCCCACTGCTCCCAAAGGGGACGCACTGAAAAAACGACCTACAAATAAGTAAATAATCCTTCAATTAAGGGTATTTACCCTTAATTTGAGCAGATAAGATTATTTGCCAATGGAATTAGTATTTTCAATCTTTTTTCATCTTAATAAGATAATTATATAATATGAACTTAGAATAAGACAATGCAATAGGTTTTTTTTTTAACTTATTTTAAATGTAAATATTCTTGTTCTATTGGCAAAGTGTCTCACTTGCCTCCTTAATTCAACAAAAAATCTTTTTTTGTTGCAAAAGTTGGAAAAAAGGATGCCTTTAAACAGCTGCTAAAATAAATAGACTAAACAGCCAGAGGAATAAAATACATAATGAATAATTGAATAAAGGAGGACAAAGTTAAAAGTAACATTTCAAAACCAAAAAATATAAACTAAATATAAAAATAAATGTAAATGATTCAGACTCAGTTTCGGGAAGCCGGTTATCTCAGACCTGCAGCAGCGACCTGTAGTAACTAGAGACGGTGAATAGAGACAAAAGACAAAGTAAAAATGAAACTTTTATATTTTACTTTATTAACCAAACATACATTACATACATTAAATAAAGTACATCAACTTTTCCACACTTTAACGATCTGATTGTGCATTAGGTAGAGGAAAAACTTGGCGTTTCCTTCAGACTTCTGCAGAAGTGCTGAATGAAGTCCTGTAACATCAAACATTTCTGGATCCCACCCAGACCTGCTGCTCTCTAACTGAGCGAGGCTATCCGTGCTCTGACACTCCGCAGGGAGACCAGGGATGTGGCGGATATCTTCCCAGCTTTGCTGTCTTCCTCTGAGTCCGCAAACGGGAACACTTCTCTGGTCAGTCGGGTCACCAAGCACGGCATCTCTTTCTTCCCATCATACAGCCGCCCTTTGGCCTGGAAGCTGTAGGCCACCCTGTGGGAGAGCCGGGTCAGCAGCCGGGTCAGCTCCAGCTCACAGTGACCTTCCTCCTCCAGTAATGAACAGAACGTCTGAAGGAAGACTGATCCAGAGAAGTTCATGAAGGCGCCATAACCTGATGGAAAAGACAAGGGATTTACTGACTGGTTCATGTTATTCAACATCTTAACGCCTTTTATTTCCTCTCTGAACAACTGGGCTCCACTGATCTCTGTGGGGATCTCTCTGTAAAGTTAAACAATCAAAATTAGGGGCAATATTTATGGTTATTTAACATGTTTTAAGAGAAAAATAGGGATTATTTTTTCCATGTTATTCATTCATTATAAAAAAACAAAACAAACTAAATATTCAGATTTTCAGTTTAGAAAATTATCAGCAAGTTAAATATTTATTTTCCAAACTAATCAGTTGGTTAAATAAATATTTACTGTGGAGCAAAATATTTAGTTTGAAAAATAATAATTAGTTAGTTAAATAAATATTTAGCTCCAAACTAAACATTTAGCTAATATGCCGAAAAGCGGAGGTGAACTACCAAAGTAAAAGCCCATGAGACGTAGGAGTTATACAGAGATTCACAGGCTTTTACTTTGGTGGTTCACTCCCTCTTTTTGGCAAGTGAATTTGCAAATTAGCTAAATATTTAGTCTGCAAATTAAATATTAACATTGGAGCTAAATATTATTTATTTAACAAAGTAAATTATTTGAAAACTAAACATTTAGCTCCAAACTAAATAATTATTTAACAAACTAAGTGTTTAGATTGGTGTTGTGGGAAAATTTAGATTTCTCTTCTATTATATATTATTTTTTTTAATTTACTCTCTGTAAAAGTTTTCCCTCAGTCTGTTTCAACTTGAAGGCCACACCATTCTCTGCAGGATGGTGTTAGTAGACCAGACATAGCTTCTTCCCATAACAAGGTTTATTCATAACATGTTACTGTTTAATCAAAGTGTAATTTGCTTTGACTCTGACTACTTTCCATTGTTGCAAGTAATGAAGATCGAACGCTGCCCAGATCAGAACAGGGCTGATTACCATCCAATAAGGACCGTATGATGAACTGTTCTCTCTTTGCAAAGATAAAAATAAAGGTACGACTGTGTGAAAACTATCGATCTCCATTTATTTAACTAGAATGAATAGTTGAATACTTTTTTCCAACTACAGCATATCAAATATATAGTTAGTTAAATAGATATTTAGCTTGGTGCTAAATAGAAATGTGACAGGAAACGCGCATGCTGCCGCCCAGTGCTCGCACCACAGGGGAACTACGGAGAGCGTGAAGGATCAAATGTTAGCCTATATGGAGAAAGATGGATGGATGGATGGATGGATGGATGGATGGATGGATGGATGGATGGATGGATGGATGGATGGATGGATGTTGCAGTATCTATAACAACCCAAACACACAGGATTTCAGAATCAGACATCCCCAGTTATTAATTTCATTCACTCATCAGATCTGAATGCCCTGTTAAACTTCACACCCATGATTAGACTAGTAACTAGTTACTTTTATTGTGGAGTAACTCAGTAAGTAACTCAGTTACATTTTGGGAGAAGTAACTAGTAACTATAACTAATTACTTTTTCAAAGTAACGTGCCCAGCACTGGGGTGAAATCCATTGATGTCCGTTTATTTAACTGGACTAAACTTTTTTTCCATGACGATTGGAAAATAAATATTTAGTTAAAATAGAAAATATTTAGTTTGGAAAATAAACAATATTTTTACTGAAAATCTAAATATTTAGTTTGCATTTGCAACTTAGATTTTTGCAGAGATGGGAAGTAACGAAGTACAAATACTTCGTTACTGTACTCAAGTAGATTTTTCTGATATTTTTACTTTACTACTTATTTTTATGGCGACTTTTTACTTCTACTCCTTACATTTTTACACAAATATCTGTACTTTCTACTCCTTACATTTTTAAAAATTGTCTCGTTACTTTAGTTTTGAATCATTTCAATGGAGTTACCATTATTATTTTTCACGTCATCAATACCAAATTCAATCTAATTGGATGGGAATCTACGTTGCATTTGACGCACCACTACAAGATGAATCGACAGATTCGGCGGTATTCATTGGCGGCAAATCATTGCAGCTTGGTGGCGGTGGCGTTAGCATAGTAGCATGGACGACGAGATGATTGAAAATGAACACAACGGAGATCTAGTCCTATTGGCAGACCTCAATTTAAAATGTAGGCAACGGCATGAAAAAAGTGGTTTCTACTTTTACTTTTATACTTTAAGTAAATTTACAAGCCTGTACTTTGTTACTTTTACTTGAGTAAAGAAGTTTAATCAGTACTTCCACTTTTACCAGAGGATTTTTTAACACAAGTATCTGTACTTTTACTCAAGTACGGAAAGTGAGTGCTTTTGCCAACTCTGGATTTTTGTAAATAGGTGAATTATTATTGTAAATTATTGATTTTCTTTTTTTTAAACTCACTAAATACCCATAAACATTGCTCCTAATATTAGACTGCTTAACTTTCCTAACGGCTCTCCATTGTTCCCTGAGGTTTGTAAAGTCATTGATGATGAAGCTGAGGTTGTGTTTGTTTCTGCTGCTGCTGGAAGCTCACCCGGCGCCGTGGCGTACATCACGGCCGTGTCCGTGGGGACAGAAAGATAGTGAGAGAAGCTGCTGTCGGACTCTTCCTGAGCTGAATCCACCTCCACTCCGTCATCCAGGTGGTGTCCTCTGCAGGCCTGCAGGATGGACAGGACACCCATCAGTGCTTCTGGAAATCATTTCCTCACAGATTCTGGAAGGTTTCAAGGTATGAGGAAGACGTACCTGAATGAGAAACAGTTTGGTCTTTTTCTCCATGCATTCATTGTCGAAGAATGTGAAGATACGAGACAGACGGACGGGTTCCCCATCCGCTCCGAACACGCAGCCCTCCTCCCCGTGAGACGACAGGACAGCCAGGAAACAGTCCTTCACAGGCCGCCTGCTCTCTGCAGCACACACACACACACACAGGTCATCATGTGCTTCATTAACTACCTGTTACTCAATCAGGGATCATGTGAGTCAACAAGATGTTCCAACATCTCAAACGCCTGCACCTTTCTGCGGAACCGCCCCGAAGCTACAGATCTGGGTTTGATCATGAGGTGTGAACAGGTTCCAACAGAAACATGTTGTTCCTGCTTCCCTCAGTCAGTCACACGGCTGTAAAGCTGAATCTATTAGTGATAAAAAGCTCCGTCTGAACGTTGACTTTTGTCCTTATCAAGGTCGTAAAGAAACGTTCAGCTTTATTTATTAAGTGTTGCTCAATCTAAGGGAAAAGTCGTCCAGTAAAAAGACTGGGAAACCTGCTTTCAAATAATAGGAGCTTCCTCAGAACCTGAAGTTCTGAGGAAGAAATGGGTTAAAAGGTCCAATCAGCTGGTCTGGAAGTTTGAGAGGAATCTATTCGGTTAGGCTGATGGATGATCAAGGTTTAAATGTTGGGTTTTATCGCTGCCCAACAAAAAACTGCAAAACTTTTATTTGGTTTTCTTCTAAAACCAGAGGCGTTGGTGCCCCGGTGGAACTGGTCCTGACCTCTTATGGCCTCTTCTATCAATCAATTTATATTAAATCTTATTTCTTATGACGGAATTAATTTGCTCACAAACCTGCTTATTTTCATATTTTCACATTCCTTTTTTAACTGTTAAGGACTAAAGCTGAAGCACTTTTTTTTATCTTCTATTGAGATAGAATCATAGATTTAATCTGTTCTATTTGCAGAAGTTCTGCTTTAATATAAGCGTCCCCCCCTGATTTTCCCTTCATTCCCTTTTTTCAATCAATTCCTTTCTAAATACATAAACAGCTCCGTCATTTGGGGCTTTGGAGACAATTTTATTTTCATTCTCTAAACTAAAAAATACATTTATCCCAGATTTGACACATGATTTTTAAAGAACATAACTTTTACTTTAAAAACATAAAAAGTAAAAACAAATACAAATAAATAAAGTAAAACATGAAAGTTTCATTTTTACTTTGTCTTTTCTCTCTATTCATCGTCTCTAGATACTACAGATCGCTGCTGCAGGTCTGAGATAACCGGCTTCCTGAAAATGAGTCTGATTCATTTACATTTATTTTTATATTTAGTTTTAGAGTTTTTGGTTTTGAAATATTAGTTTTAACTTTTTCCTCCTTTATCTTATTATTCATTATGTATTTTATTCCTCTAGTTCTTGAATTAAAGCGCAGTATTTTCAGACCTTGAATATCAGAAACCAAAGGATCTTAGATTTAGAATAATTTAGTTGCCAAAAGGCAATTTTTTTTATCTGTTGTCCCTGGACAAATATTAAAATAGTCTTAACCTAAAAACACAACAGTGAGATTTTACAGTGAAAAATAAAAATATAAAAAGACATAGAAACAGCTCTAACTGTTCAAAACTTGTTTTAAAAATACAGAATGACTAAAGATTTTAGGTTTATAAAATAGAATAAAACATTCAAATAAAAATAATCACACTATATATATATATATATATATATATATATATATATATATATATATATATATATATATATATATATATATATATATATATATATATATATATATATATATATATATCCATCCATCAGCCAGTGCAGCTGGGTTTATTCGGAGTGTTCATGTCTGTGCCGTCTGAGCATCAGCGGTTCTAGACGGGGGCCAGATCATGTCCTGGCCCTTGTTATGGCCCCTGAAACACTAATGCTGATCTGCGCTGGAACAGACATGGTTACTGATTGTTCCTTTGGATCTATTTCATTATTTTTCTTTACAAATTCTGTTTTACTAATAATTTAAAACCAAAAAGGTGATCGCTTCAGTGGTAGGATCCCAGTTTTCATCGCTAAATGTTTTTTTTTTCAAAACAGAACAAAAAAAATCAAATTTTTACAGATGAATTTATCAGTTTTTCTTGATTTCTAATTCTGAAAATTCAGAAAACTGTCATTTTAATCTGAAATAAAGTTAAAAATATGTAAAATTCCTAAATGATGAATGTATATTTATCTAATATTCCAAATAAAAGCTTTATTTAATCTTTTAGATATTTACATGGCTACCATTTTTTGAGTTGATTTTTTTCTATGCTAAGGGATTTATCATTTTGATTTTAAAGATAATTCAAGTGAACATTTTCAAGCCAAAAATAAATATTTTCAGTTGGAAGACATGTCATTTTAATTAAACCTAATTGAATGGAAAGTGCAGCTCTCTTAATATTTGAATTCCCTGTTTTTTGTTTCATGCTTTTCTGGCCCCCATGAAAACACGCTGGCCCCCTCCTGGCCCCCTCCTGGCCCCCTCCTGGCCCCCCGGAACATTTGTTCTAGAACCGCCACTGTGTCTGAGTTTAGCAGAGCCAGACGAACACATGTTGGTTTGTTACCTGCAGAGAACAGCTGGTAGATCTCCTCTCCGCTCAGGTCGCTGTGCAGGTCCACTTTGAAGCCCAGCTTGCTGAGGTTGCGGTGGAGCCTCTTGGCATCCTTTTCTGCCCCGGGCCTCTTACCTAACTCCACACCGGGGTAAAACTTGGCCACAGACACCACCACGGCCCTGTTGCGCTCCTCTGGGGAGTCTCTGAGTCCCCTCCACAGCGGCATGTCTGTCTGTCAGCCTGGTTGTGAGGAAACTTTGAGCCTGAGCATCTCTCTGCATTTAAAGCCCGGCCATAAAGCCTTGTCCACGCCTCTTTGCTAAACACACCTTGTACGGCGTTTCCTCTCAGGTTGTAAAATCACTATGCTGTGAATTTACATTCTTGCAACACTCTCATTTTCCCGCTTGCCATAAACCCTGACGTAGTTCTCCTCCAGCAGAGCCTTATATGTACGTATATCCGCTAATCTGAAGGCTGAGCAGCAGATCCAGGCTTCCTGGGTGAAACTGGAGGATTGTTTAGATGATCCTGGTTTGGAAGGAGAAAAGCAGAAAGCTCTGCTGCCTTCTGCCACGCCTGATTAAGCTGCATTCATTCAGTCAGCGTGGGATCCATCACAGCCTCTTACATGTGAAATGTCACTCAGGTGGAAATGTGCAAATCTGTCACAACATGTCAGCCTTCAGCTTAAAGGAAATGTTCATTTTACACATGACATAGTGAAGGAATCATTGCCAAAAGCAGCACCTGATATGGAGAGCAGTCAGTGATCATAATGGAGGATCAGAATAACTGAGCTCCGGTTTATCTGGAAGAATCTACTACACATTTCTAATTAGCACCAAGCTAAATGTCTATTTAACAAACTACGTATTTGATATGCTAAGTATTCAACTATTAACCCTAGTTAAATTAACAGAGATCAGTAAATTTCACTCAGTTTGCACTTTATTTTTATCTTTGCAAATGAAGAACAGTTCATCATTATTGCACGGTAATCAGCCCTGTTCTGATCTGAGCAGCGTTCATTCCTCCTTACTGACAATAATGGAAAGTAGTCAGAGTCGAAACTAATTACACTTTGATTAAACAGTAACATGTTATAAATAAACCTTGTTATGTGAAGAAGCTATGTCTGGTCTACAGACACCATCCTGCAGGGAAATGTGTGGCCTTTAGAGAAAAACAGACTGAGTGAAAACTTTTATAGAGAGTAAATTGGATAAATTAACATTTAATAGAACAGAAATCTAAATTTTCCAACAACAGACGACCCTTTCAATTATAAAAGGATATTATCCTTGTGTAATCGATATTTAAAAAAAGGAAAATTAATGAGTGTAAAAAGACTAAAAACTAACAAACTAAAATTGTGAATATATAAAAAGAAAGCTTAAAACTAAGAAACCAAAATAAAAATAATTATTGAAAAAAAAAAAAAAAAAAATATATATATATATATATATATATATACATATCAAAAATGCACGCCTGCAGTCAAGTCAGTGAAAAATGTTAAATGATTATAATAAATGGAAAAATCATGGAAAAGATTAAGATAGCTAAAGTATGTTGCCAATAAATAGAGCCCTGGAATCACATCTTAGTTGGTAAAAACATTTAACTGTTTTTCCTCATGATGATAATTGATCTATTTGGTGAGAATCTGAATTTTTCATTCGTATCATTATCAGTTATGGAGCTGTTGCAGCTGTCCAGAGGAACTCCATCTGAAGTTAAGTTATTTTCTCTGTGATATCTCTGTATCTGAGTAACTCTAACTGACTACTTTAAAACATAGCACCTTCTGCTGCACTTTTCTACTGAACACTTGTCAGTTTCACACGGTTTTATTTCTGATAGCAAGGAGTAGCTAGCCTAGGCTAGCGCTAGCTTAGCATTGCTATGGCTTCTCTCTCTCCCTCCCTTGACTCTTTTCCAACTCTTCCTTCTTCCTCTCCTCTCTCCTGCTCTCTGTGTCAGATGTTCAGTTATTCCTCTGCCTCCTTTAGTGATAATGGGATGTGTAATAAGTGTAGTATTTTAGTAGCTTTGGAGGCGAGGGTGTCACAGTTAGAATCCAGGCTTCAGGCTGTTGAACATCCAGGAGTTAAAGTAGGCCCCCCACATAGCTGTCCTCCAAAAGTGCCTGAGCAGCCAGGCGATTGGGTAACTGTACGCAGAAAGCGTAGTCGTGGATCTCTGCCCACTGGTCACCACCAACCCGTTCACGTTTCTAACCGGTTTTCCCCACTCAGTGACACACCCACTGAGAAGCCCACTCTGGTGTTTGGCAGCTCCATAGTCAGAAACGTGGCATTAGAGACACCAGGGACCATAGTCAAATGTTTGCCGGGGGCCAGAACGGGCGACATCAAATCCTACCTGAAACTACTGGCTAAGGATAAGGTTAAATACAGTAAGATTGTTATTCACGTTGGTGGTAATGACACCCGGTTACGCCGATCGGAGGTCACTAAAATTAGTGTTGTTTCGGTGTGTAAGTTTGCCAAAAGAATGTCGGACTCCGTAATTTTCTCTGGTCCCCTCCCTGATCTGACCAGTGATGACATGTTTAGCCGCATGTCGTCATTCAACCGCTGGTTGTCTAGGTGGTGTCCTGAAAACAACGTGGGCTACATTAATAATTGGCAATCCTTTTGGGGAAAGCCTGGTCTGATTCGTAGAGACGCCATCCATCCCACTTTGGATGGTGCAGCTCTTCTTTCTAGGAATCTGGCCACATTTATTAGTCCTCCAAAACCCTGACCACCCAGGGTGCAGACCAGGAAGCAGAGTTTTAGTTTAACACACATCTCTGCAGCTTCTCTACTGTTACCCACTCTTTACTCCATCCAGACAGTGTCTTGCCCACGACCAAAATCTAATAAATTAGCAAAGATTCCCAAAGGAGTAAATCATGATAATCTAATTAAAATCAAAATAACTTCAATTGGGGAAAAAGTTAAAACAATTAAATGCGGTCTGTTTAACATAAGATCGCTTTCCTCTAAAAGTCTGCTAGTTAATGACTTGATTTGTGATAATCACATTGACTTGTTTTGCCTTACAGAAACCTGGCTGCAGCAAGAGGATTATGTGAGCATAAATGAGGCAACTCCTTCAAGCTATTTAAATTTTCACATCCCCAGAAGTTCTGGGCGAGGAGGAGGAGTAGCAACAATCTTCCAGTCTGACTTACTGATTACTCCCAAAACAGTTAATACCTACAACTCTTTTGAACATTTAACCCTTAATTTCCCTGATCCAAATTTCAAGGCAAGAAAACCTCTTCTTTTTGTAACTTTGTATCGTCCACCAGGTCCTTACTCTGAATTTTTAGATGAGTTTTCAGAGTTCCTTTCTGATTTGGTATTAAATACTGACAGGGTCATCATAGTGGGAGATTTTAACATCCATGCTGACATTGAAGGCGATAGCTTAAGAGCAGCCTTTAATGCTATCTTAGACACTATTGGCTTTGTTCAAAATGTGAATAGTCCCACACATTCTCATCTTCATACTTTGGATCTTGTGCTGACATACGGCATAGAATGTGAAGAAATAACAGTATTTCCTCACAACCCTGTCCTCTCTGACCACTTTCTAATAACCTTCAGGATTACTTTAACAGAGTTCTCCTCCCCCAAAAGAAGGTTCAATTTTAGTACATCTTTATCAGATAGTGCAGTTATAAATTTTAAAGAATCTGCTTCACTTTCTCTCTCCTCTGTGTCGCTGAGCAGTGCTGCAGAGTGCAAAAGCATAGCTTATTCCCCTTCACAGGTTGATGATTTTGTTGATGGGGTTGCTAGTTCTCTGCGTACTGCCTTAGACAACGCAGCTCCTTTGAAAATGATAACCGTTAAAAATAGAAAGCTTGCTCCTTGGTTTAATGCAGAGCTGCGTACTTTGAAGCAAAATGCTAGGAAACTGGAGAGAAAATATCGCTCCACAGGCCTGCGAGAGTCCTTCCTAGTCTGGAAAAATGGTTTACTGCTGTATAAGAGGACCCTTTGTAAAGCAAGAGCAGCATACTTCTCCTCATTAATAGAGGAGAATAAGAATAATCCTAGATTTCTTTTTAATACAGTTGCCAAACTCACCCAGAGCCATAGCTCTGTTGAACCGTCCATTCCACCTGCTCTTAGCAGCAATGATTTTATGGGATTCTTTATAAATAAGATTGATCTTATTAAAAATAAGATCATAAGCACTCCTCTATCCGCGATTGTACCTGAGGTAGTCATGGAATCTGAACCGGGTTTAGACTGCTTTGATCCAGTTGAACTTTCTGAATTAGCAAAACTATTGTCTTCATCTAAGCCTTCAACTTGGATGTTAGATCCAGTTCCAACCAGGTTATTTAAGGAGGTATTCCCTTTGATCTCCTCCTCCATTTTAGATGTGATTAATCTATCTCTGTTACAGGGATATGTACCTAAAGCTTTTAAGGTTGCTGTAATTAAACCTCTGCTTGAGAAACCGTCTCTTGACCCAGATGACTTGGTTAATTATAGACCTATATCCAATCTTCCTTTCTTATCCAAAATTCTTGAGAAAGTAGTTGCCAAACAAGTTTGCGATCACTTCCACCATAATGAACTTTTTGAAGAGTTTCAGTCTGGCTTTAGAGCTCATCATAGCACTGAAACAGCTCTGGTGAAAGTCACTAATGATATTCTCATGGCCTCAGATAATGGACTTGTATCTGTGCTCGTCCTGTTGGATCTTAGTGCTGCATTTGATACAGTTGATCATAATATTCTTTTAGAAAGACTTGAATATTTTGTTGGAATTAAAGGAACAGCACTAGACTGGTTTAAATCTTATCTATCTGATCGAATTCAGTTTGTTCATGTTAATGACAAATCTTCCACATGCTCAAAGGTTACCTGTGGAGTACCACAGGGATCCGTGCAAGGACCAATTCTCTTTACTTTATACATGCTCCCAATCGTTAGAGTTATTAGACAGCATGGGATTAATTTCCACTGTTATGCTGATGATACCCAGCTATATCTGTCTATAAATCCAGATGAAGCTGTCATGATCGGTTCTCTAATGGAGACCCAAAGATGCAGAACACCACTGACGGACACAGGATGAAAAGTTTAACAAGTTTATTTGCACAATCACACTGAATATGCAGAAGGCTGGTTCGGGCCTGGATTCTGGTTTCACCGGAGTCTGCGTGAGAGACAGCACAGTTAAGGACTGTTGACGGGGTTTGGTTTCCAATGATGCACAGATAGTACCTTGAGGGTT